ATATATATATATATATATATATATATATATATATATATATATATATATATATATATATATATATATATGTATATATATGTATATATATATATATATATATATATATATATATATATATATATATATATATATATATATATATATATGTATATATATATATATATATATATATATATATATATATATATGATTATTTTGATATTTGCCATTTTATTTCACAGTTTTAAGTGTTATCTTTAAAAATTAAAGTCTAAATATTAAAGAGTCTAAAATGCCAACCTTAACTATAACTTTATAAAAAAAAACTTTTAAAGCTTTTAACTAAACCTCAAGGTTAAAAAGTATTAACTAACTAAATAACTAATTACTTACATGAATAAATAGCTAGCTTGACTAAGTAATAAAAAATTGAAGGTACTATAAAAACGTGATAATTATCAATTTTGTTTCTTTAAATTTAATTTAACTAATTAACATGAATTATACATACTGTAATACTTTATACAATAATAAATTTTGTACTATTCTTCATTCTATAATGTTCTATAATTGATACTTGGGTAACTAGTACTAAACAACTGATATGTAATACTATTATAAATAAATTTAAAATCTATATAATAATCATGGAACCATAATATTAAAAGAAAATTTGCATAAGATATAAATAAAAGCTGAGGCTAAATAGTCTATTTAAAAACAAAGTCAGTGAGTCCACTCGAATATACTTATTGCAAAATATCTCGCTTGTTCAAGTTAAACTTCTTAAGTTACACAAGATAATTTTACGAGTCATCGTGTCTAATACTACGTTAAGTAAACATTGAATATTCCTTGGACACTAAAAATATTTTTTATAAATTTGTAAATTCAAAATCATTTATTATTTTAAAAATTTAGCTATCGAGTTAAATGGCTTTATATATATTTTTTGGTAATATCTCTTTTTATAACATTTACATAAAAAACTTAAGTTTGTAACTTAAGTAACTTAAGTTTAAACATAGAAAATGCTAATGTTGTTATAAGAACATAAACTTCTTATTGAAAAACATATTAAATTAAGAAATAGTGACTTTTATCAAATTTTTAGGTGATGACAGGACCAGAGTGAGGCACTTTCAAGGCCTACTTAGGGTATTCAGATAACCATAAGACATATAATTGCATTTATCTTTGAGACGACAAATAATAGCTGTCTCAAGCCGTCTAAAAAATGACGACAAATAGATGTCTTATATTTATCTGAATTTAGACATCTAAAAGTGTTAACATTTTAGATGCAAAAAGAAAAGTCTAAAAGACGTGTTTGTGCCAGCTTGGACAATACTCTTTTATTTTAAAACCAAGAAATACACAAACAGTACTTTAATGCTCCTGTTTACTCTAGATCAGGTCTCAAATCCGATAACAGAGTCATCGAATTTGATTTATGGCTGGATTTAATATTGATAATAGGTTTAATATTGCGAAGGTCTGTTGCAATCGTTTTGATGAAACACCCTAAGAAAAGTTCTTTTGGAATAACACAACGGAATACTTTGACAAAAGATACCCTGTTTTACACCCAGAGTAGCCCTACTACACTTTCTTTTTTATAAATTTTGTAATATAAATGGTAGATTGAATGACCCTAAAAATTTTTTACAATAGAATGGCCCAGTTACAATATGTTAGCGCTAATGGCAGTTGATTGAATTTGAAACATCATAACTAAACGCATTTGGTGTTTAAGGTGCAATGGAAAACTTTATGTGATCAAAGACACTAGTTTAGCAACAAAAAATTATTTTTAATCCGACACAAATGCAACTTTAAAAATCGAAAAAAAGAGTTGTGTTCCTCAAAATAATGTCTTTCTACTGAATTGAAATCTAAGTTATTAGTAAAAAAGTTCCGGAAAAAACTTGAGTTATAAAAAAAATGTATACGCCGTCTTCTAAAGTTTTTTTTTTTTAAATCGTTTTATCTCAAAACTAAAAAACGTGGAGATAGAACAAAATAATTCTAACATCGCAAAATCTAGATTGAATTTTCTTAGCAAAACAATGATGCGCAACTTTGAAGATATTTCCTTCATGCTAATGTTTAAGGGTTTTTTTAGTAAAAAAATATATATTTGTAGATTCATCGTGATTTTGCTGTCATCATAAGTTTTGCCGAAAATTCTATTTTATAGTCAAGAAGAGTCACCTGCTCATCATGAATTAATGTTTTAGTTAAAGCTAAAGCAAGGCTTTAAGGTAAGTTAAAGCTAAAAAGTTTATTTAGTTAAAGCAAGGCTTTAAGGCACCAGTGATTTCCTGTAATCGTTTCGCAAATAGTTTTATGTCGGAAATCTGAGCTTATTACCTGGTCTCCGAAAGCTTGTAAATCTTTTATCTAGCAGTACTGCACCTAAAGAATAAAAAAAGACCTTACATTTTAAGTTTTTTAAAATAATCAATAAAACTTATACATAGAAAGTTTAGCATTGATAAAGGAAAGCAACACTAGATTTTTCAATGCTGAAGATTGACATTATTGCAACATAGATTGATATGGATAACTCATATGATCCTGCTAAAAACTACGTATAATTTGGTATGGTAATAAATGTACTCTAGAAAGTAATTGACGATGAACACAAATAGCAGTGATACAAAAACTAACTTTTGAGGGACGCTGCTTACCCCTTTTTTCCACTCGGATATTTATTCTCCAGTTATTACACATTCTTGTTTAATAGCTAGCCAGTGATCTAGTTTAATAGCAGGCCTAAAATTCCATAGATATGAACCTTATAAACAAGTCATTGAGTGACACTTTATTGAATGCTATGACAAAGTTGGTAAAATTCGTGTTAACCAGGTGTCCACGGTAAACTGCCTCCAGCAAATTGTGACGGGTTTGTTAAGGGTTTGTTAAGCAGTCTTTGTGATGTACAAAGCCGTGCTGAGACTTGAAAATTTGATTATTTATAGTGTTTCACAATTCAATCGATAATTCTCTCCGCTACCTTGTACAGTACAAAGGCGAGAGACACCAGCTAGTAGTTACAAGCCTTGACTCCAGCACGCGAGAGACACCAGCTAGTAGTAACAAGCCTTGACTCCAGCACACGAGAGACACCAGCACATGAGAGAAACCAGCATGAAGTAACAAGTCTTGACTCTAGCACAGAGAGACACCAGCATGTAGTAACAAGCCTTGACTCCAGAATACATTTTTTTGTTATATTTTAAAGATCTTTTTAGGCCTTACTTGGCAAAAAACAAATACGTCATCCCCTTTCCCCTCCTTTAAAAATCTCTTCGGGACGGCCCTGTTCGAAATCTTTAAATATTCTTTTATGTTCTTTTGTTTAGCACCTCTATTTTGAACCTCTTGATTGAACTTGCTCTATGTCTTACTCAAAATGTTTGCTTTGGAATTCTCTACGGCTTCATATTATCTTGACTTATACAAATGCTTCATATTATCTTGACTTATACAAATTAGGATTTCAAAATCCGGTATGATCATGTTAGAAATTGCGGTACAAACCTTAATTGAAAATAAGTTTTGCACTGCGCTCTCTTCCATGTACAACCTGATTTTAACAACCCTAATGGATCCTCCATAAATTACGTAACGCAAACTTTCTTAATAAACAAAACCAAAAGTTTTACCTTGTAGAATCTTAATTAAAAAAAAATCAAAGTAGCGCATGTAAGTTTACTGAAATTCGCTCGGCAAAAGAGCTAAATATCTCACACTTCTGTTTTTTAAATATATTTTCAATTTTTTAATGAATTTTTTTTTTATTTTCAGAGATGTTTTATATACGTTTCTTAAAGAAAAAAAAAGTGTTTTATTAAAAAAAAAAAAAAACACGGTTTTATTAAAAAAGCAAACAGTTAATGAAAAAAAGGTATTATTAAATACTTATAATTTGGATGAAAGTTTTTAATTTAACAAAATTATTTTGATACCTAATATCATCTTCATAAGAGTGTTTAAAAAAAAAAAAAAATTATTTTGTTTTGTCGCTAAATATTACATACTCCTAATAGAAAGATGAAAAATTCTAACGCTTTTGATGACTAATCGCACAATTTCAAAATACAAACCTCAGAAGACCTCATTCCATTGATAATAATAATAAAATTAAAAAAAAAAGCTTTATATTAAATGCTAATGAATACACCAGTGTCAATCCAATGCTTAGAAAGCTTGGAGTGCTGAATGTTTTCCAATTAAATATTTATAATATTCTTTTATTCATGTTTAAATTAAAATATCATATGCTGCCTAATATTTTTGAAGACCATTTCCTTATTATATATCATAAATATCAAACGAATGATTCGTTGCTTAATTATAAGGTACCTAAAACTTTGTTAAAACAATCCGAATTCTCGATAAGTTACCGAGGGCCACATTTGTGGAACTTATTTCTCCCAAATAGTAGTAAAACTACACCTTCAATTCAAACTTTTAAAAGTATCTTAAAAAAATAGTTATTTGATTATATCTCAAATACTATTTTATTTTTAGTTTTTATTTTATTCTTTTATTTTTTAATTTTTACTTTTGTTAAAAAGCGACATCACCCTTTACATCATTACTTATCTTTATATTTTATTTATTTTAAGTTGATTGTATTCGCAAAAAAATGTAACAATTTTTTTTTTAAAAGTATTTAATATTATTTTACTGAGATTTTTTGTTTAATATGATAGATTATTTTTTGTTTAATATGTAAATGATACAACGGGGCTGGATGTTATCTTCCAGCCCCGACTTCCAGACTTCCAGACACTTAGACTTTAGTCTTCTGCCTGCTTCCGTCACATCTTAACTCAAAAAAGTAAATAATTTATTATGAAGATGAAGAAATATATATCAAAAAATAAATAAATATATAAGTAAAAAATATATATGTTAAAATTAATTTGCATATTAAAAACTGTTAATTAAATGATTTAACTGTTTTTCTTTTAAAGTGTATTTGTACATATATAATTTTAAAACAACAATTATCTATATAAATTTTATTTGAACATTAGTCATGTTTTTAAAATAAAAATTTATAACATAAATAAAAATTAACGGAAGAAAAACACGAATCTGTTTCGGAAGCTAGTCCTCCCACGGACTCATGTCGGCGTCAATGGCAATGCAGTTATATGAAGCGTAGCGAATGCGCTCTTCTGCATGAGCAACACTACAAGAAACAATATCATATATTATCATATGCTTTATATCAGTTCCTATCATTTTTTATAATAAAACCTATTGAATCGTGAGTCTTTTTTAACTTTATAGCATAAAACGTTTGCTATTATAATACTTTTCTTTGACAAAAGAATTAAACTTTTAATAATACCTGTACTCTTAAAATAAAAAAAAACAAACAACAAGCAAACAAAAAAACAACAACAAATAACGTCAAATATAAATAAGATATAAGTCTCTAAGTGTTAATTATAATCACAAATAAACTCTAGTTTACTAGATAACTTGATAAGTCTTTTATATTATAATCAACATGTGAACATAGATATGGAGTTTTCAATAAGGTCAGAAAATATTTTTTGCACTGAATTTTTCGGTTTTATTACGGGCATAACTTTCACAGTTTTTAGAAAATATTTAACCACGTGCAAAAGAAGTCATTTTACTATTTTAAATAAATTTCGATAAACCTTTGCTTACTCTGTTTCCACGATAAAGATTCTAAATTGTTAAAACTATCAAAGAAAGTAGAAAAGTTTCTTAAGATTACCGGATAAAATTTAAAGTTTTAGTTAGGCCTGCTATGTTTGTATTGACCTTGTCAAGCGCCACAAAAAATATGCTAAAACCGTATACTGAAAACGTCTCCTTACCACTTTTAATAATGTATAAAACACAGAGCCAGAATTTACAGACTTACATAAAAAGACTAAAAAAATGGTTCTTTTATTCAAGTTTTGTTATATATTAATGATGCATTTTGTTAAACGAGCTGAATTTTCTATTAAAAGCAATTATCTATTATGAACAACGAATGAAAGTTCTTTCTATGGGAATTCAAGTGTTTCATTGGCATGTTTTTTCATTAAGTATAATGAAATTTTTCTTTGTTTTTGAATGAAGCAAGGTTATTATGCATCATCATCATATTTTGGAATTATATAAAAAATAAAAAAAATATGGAGGATGCTACTAACTGCAAACAAAGGAGATCAAAAAATAAATTTTCGAGATGCATTATTTGTCAGAAAGATGATACTAAGAAAAAGGTCAGTAGAATTGTGTTGCAACTTTTCTATTTTGTAAATTTAGACACTTTATTTTAATTTTATCTTGAGAATCGTTACCAATTTAAATGGCACAACATTAGTCAGATTTGCAATTAATCAATCGTAATTACATCTTCAGTCTTGGCGAACTCTATGTTGTATTTGCCTTCCTTAAAGTAGTCATCAAATATATAGAAGGTAGTGGACTTGATACAGTCTTGAGGACTGTATCAAAGACAGCCATATACGAACATAAAACATTACAAAATGCTTTATCATATTTTTAAATTAGGAGATTTAGCCAACTGGTCAAACAAACTTATCACCTACCAATGCATGGAAGAAAATTCAATATAATTTTCGTCCCTTCTAAAAAATTGCATAAAAAAACCAAAATTAGATTTGATTGCAAAAAGCTTTATGCTACATTTATTCAGTTATTTCAACTTAAGAATTGTACAATTTTATGAAATGAAACTAAAAATATTGTAAAAGCCATGTCTATAATAATTCTTTTTACTTTGGAATTCCGAAGTAAAACTACATATTGCTGTTTTAAAAAAACATGACTTTGACATCAAACAAGATTTTATTAGGATTTATAAAACAACTATAATATATTCAAGAACATTCTTGATTAAACAAAAGGTCTTATTTAAAAATTTGCTTTGTATGAGTTATAACATGTTCACAGAAAGAAGTACAGCAAAGTGAATAAGAAAATGTCTGGAAAATATTAATTTTTTTTTGTGAAAGCATAGAAAAATGACATTAAACATTAAAATAGAAATAAATTTAAATGAGTGATAGAACCAAGAATCTTTTTTAATGTTCAAGATATTTAACATCTAGATATAATGTCAAATACAAATGTTTTAAAATAATGTAATAGAAGCTCGGGAACATAAAATGTTCTAAAATGTTAGTTCTTCCAAATCCTAAAGTTAGGGAAATAAGAATTTTTAAAAGTATATTTTAAATAAAATCAAAAATTTGTAGAGTTCAAATTTTATAAAAAAAAAAAAAAATTAAAAAGTTTAAAGAGCTTAAAAAAGATTAATAGTCAACGTTAATAATAACTTTATAATCAAAACTTTAATAACTGTAGTTAACATTAATAATAATTTTATAATCAAATTGTAGTAATGGTTTAGTGGTACAGCACTTTCTTCATAAGCGAGAAGTTCCAAGTTTGATCCCCACCACCCCTCTGATAGTACTGTGCTTATTTCTCTACAAAGTGTCCTTGTTTGTCAAGGTTTGTATTTCTGAGTTAAAGAGTTGAAAGAGGCTTGTAACCGCAATAAAGTAGCTGACTGTAGTGGCCCTTTCTGCCATAGGGAGGTGATTAACAATATTATTGTTAAATATTAAAAAAAAAAATAATTATAAATTTGAAAGTATAGTATCATACCTAGAATAGTTTGGCAAAAATAGTGTATGGGAACAAGTTGCTGATTCAGGAAGAGAGTTTAAAGCAGCATTCCTAAAGAGAAATTATTAAATTATTAGCAAAAACTCAAATATTTGTGTATAATGAGATCATCGTAATTGTTTACTAATATTTATTCTATAAATGAAAGACAGTAGAGACACCACCCATTAAACCTATTTATCATCTCTCTATTAAACTCTTGTTAAGCCTTATTCCTGCCTATTTCTAATAAAATATATTTTTGGGTAAAAAAAACTATTTTTAATAAAATATATTTTTGGGTAAAAAGTTTAAAATCAAAAAAATTTTTTGTAACAAAATGAGAAAGAAAAATAAGATTCAAAAAAATATGCTGCACACAAAATGCAAAAAAACTTTTAATAACGTTCTTCTTTTTTAAAAAACTTAATTTAATAACGTTCTTCTTTTTTAAAAAACTTAATTTAATAACGTTCTTCTTTTTTAAAAAACTTTATTTAATAACGTTCTTTTTTTTTTTAAAACTTAATTTAATAACGTTCTTCTTTTTTAAAAAACTTAATTTAATAACGTTCTTCTTTTTTTAAAAAAAAATGCTCTCAGTTTCTCATTCCCTCCCTTGAACTGAAATCTTCTTTACAAAATTAAAGTGTTTTTAAAGATAGACAAGTCTAATGTGTAAAAAAAAAACTTGGGAGCTAAAGCCTCAATTAAATAAATTTCTTGTAATTAAATAAAATAAAATTAATTAAATTAAAAAAAGTAATTAAAATATTTAAAAAAAAAAAAAAAGAAATTTGAGAAATATGTTCGGTCTAAAGACTGGGTTATTTCAGGTTTTATTTTGATTTTGATTATTTGAACTGTATCTAAACAATAAAAGATACATCAATATTTAATTGTAATAAAATCATTTATTAAAATAAAACAATTTTACTTGAAAACAATTTGCAGGCCACTTATATTTGCCACAACTTTAAATATATAAGTATACTTATAAATAAAATCATGTTTTTTTATATTTATATTTGTAATGGTTGAGTAAGAAGTTTTAAAATTGTGTAAAACAGATAATATCAGTAATATATTATACAACTTCACACAATGTTTCATTATTAATTCATTTTTATTATATTTATTAATTATTTTTTTTATTTTTATTATATTATTATAAATTATTAATTATTGTTTTTATTATTACTTTAAAAAACCTCATACCACAGGTGTTAATGTCTTTTTTAAAAGCATCTATAATTTATTCATTATTAAAATTACAATTTACAAATAACTATGATTGATTATTAAAGTGACACTATTAAATTTCTGTATCTAGAGTTGTCTTTATTAATGTCTTTTTATCTATAAAGTTTATTTGCATTACTATTTAAATAAGATGATTTTATAACTTAAAGACGCTTTGCTGTTACTGTTAAAGCAGAGAAAATAAAAAAGCAGAGAAAATAAAAAATTATAAAACCTTATTATTTATAATACCTCTATTTATTATATAAATCTAAGATTTAGATGATAAATTTCCTTTTTCAAACTTTTAACTGATTTTTTGTTAATTATTTACAATCTAATAATTTGATTTATTCTTTTATTATTATTATAACATAATTGATTAATGTATAAAAAATATGATTATAATATATCTTCTCAAACTTCAGGTGGAAGATGTTGTTCAGGTGGAAGATTTTGTTGTTCAGGTGGAAGATGTTGTTGTTCAGGCGGAAGATGTTGTTGTTCAGGTAGAAGATGTTGTTGGACGGTGGCGAACTTTGACTGAATGATGCAATTAAATAATGACAAAAAAAAATTGAATGTTATAGCTGGATGGTTGCAAACTTCTACTAAATGATGTTGCTGGATGGTGACAAACTTAGACTAAATAATATAACTAGATAGTAACAAATGTCAACTGAATGATGTAAACAGATGGTGACAAACTTTGACTGAATGATGTAGCTGGATGGTGATAAATGTCAACTGAATGATATAAATGGGTTAAACCTCTAAAAACATTTGTGTAACTTTTCAAAAATTAAATTAAATATGATTGAATCCTAATACTTGATTTTATTTTACGACTAAACATTTATTTTTAAAACTTTCTATTTTTATTGACATTTATGTTTTTGATTATAATAAGTTTCAAAAACTTACATTTTGCTTCCTGAAATAATAAGAGGTGTTGGTAAGCGTCGCCTGCCAGTGACAAACCTCAGGAAGCGACTACGATCTTCTACATTATTATTCAAAAATAAGAAAATCTGAAACCTTGAAAAAGCTTTTATAAAATTAATCTGAAAAAAAGTCTGCTTACCATTAGTGAAATTTTCAATAGCTTGCCAAAATATTTTAATAGATGGATCATTTGATTCGTCTTCAAAATCTTGGTAGTGAACTAAATTTAAAATATAAAACGTTATAAAGAAATTAAATTTAAAACATAACAAAGCATGTAAAAAGCAACACAATACAATATAAGCATTTTGATATTTGAAAAAATTTAATACTCTTTAAATTTTTACTCTTTTTTCAACATTAAAAATTTAATACTCTTTTAAATTTTTAATGTTGTCTTAACATTCTGATACTCAACTATATATTCTAAACATTTTGATATGCTATAATATAACTTACAATTTTTGTTCACAAATATTAATAATACAACCTTACTATTCATATTTGTGAACAAAATAAGTGTGATAAACTTATCATGCTACAATTGTAAAGGAGTTTGACAAAGGCTCTGATGCCTTCTGTTTGTGAGTAATAAAGTTTCGGTTTAATTAAATCAGTTTTTTCATAGATCCACAAAACAGGAAAATAATTGTTAAAAAATATTTCAACAAAGATTATTATTAAGAATTTCAACAAATTATATTGAATGATGCTAAGAGACTCAATGGCGAGTTTCATGTAGGTGGTTACCAATATAATTTGAAGCTATAAATCTGCTAACAATGCGGACATTATCCCAAAATATGTTAGTGTATAAAGACAGCTGTATTGCAACAAGTCCTTCAAAATCCAACTCCTTTACTTGCATCTTGAACTCCTCTGAGATAATCTAGATTACACTAATCTAAAGACTGTCAGAGCTCATGTTTAAGATTTATACTGTTAAGAAAAAGTTGAATAAAAAAATTATGAGAATAAGTGTTGACAGTAGTGTCCCTGGGGTGACCTTGGGGTGTAGAAAAATCTTTTTGAGTAGTAAAACCTTGACAGTAATGTCCCTGAACCTTGGGGAGAAATGTGTTTATATATACACATCCCCATAGCTAAGTGACAAATATATATATGAAATATGATAATGCTGAAGTATGGTAACGCTATCTCTGTTGCAACAAAAAATCTACTTATAGATTGAAAATATGTCAAAAACACCATAGGCATGGTCTTTGACACAATGTCTCTCGGCCTTCAGGAGAAATATATATTATACAATGTAATGTAATACAAACTTTGCCTATTTGTAAGTTGCATTTTTGTGTGGTGAAAATCAAGTTGTGAAAACATAAATAACTATAAGTCAAAACACAAGTTGATTCAAAACTCCAAATAAATTTTTCAAAATGCAGCTTATAAACTAAGCTGTGTAATTGTGAAAGTTATAAATTGTAAATATTAGGCTGCCCTAAAATCCTGCAAAATTGCTGTTCAAAATTTTGCAACTGAATTGCATCAAATAAATGCCTGAAATTTATGTGCTTACAATTTTCAAAAAACTGATTTTGCAAAATCAAATTAAATATTATGTAAAAACATAAATTAATGAATTAAAACTTTTTAGCCTAAAATATAACTCTAAGGTTGAAAAACACAATAATTTCCAGTAATGTAATAACATAATTGGAAAGAAATTCAAAATAATCCTTTCTTCAATGTTTATTAATTACTATAAAAATTGTAGTCTCATTTATGAATTAATCATCAATCAACATATAATGCTAGTAATCTTAACTTCTCTTGAAAATGAGAAAAACTTTTTCTCATAAACATTTACCTACTTTGGGTGCATCTTGAAACCTTTTCCTGAGTAACACCTAACAATTGTCTTCATTTCAAGAAAGTCATTTACTTAGATATTTAAAAAAACTCATCGAGATCACAATAAGGAAAAACCTCATTGATTCAGTGCTAATCAAATGACTCAGTGATTCCATCTACTCTAAAATTGGGTTAATGTTAGGTTTTCCAAAGGATGCTCCTACACGATCCTTAGAACTTCCAGCACTTTCTAATTGGAGTCTTTATCAGATACCATTTGTGAGAAAATGGCCAAAGGAACAAGCCTTTCATTTAAATATCAACTATGTCTGTTAAGATCTTTTATTCCCTTGTCACAAATTATAGAATCATAGTATATAAACTGTTTTAGCTTCTCAACTAAAGCCAAATTATTGACTGGGCATTGGCTGCAATGGGGCATACAATCCACCACTTACAGCAAACACACAGAAACGTCAAGTCAATTTTCATAGTGTAAAAAAGTTTTATCACTTATCTTGCTTCATGCAAAGCTCCAGGAGGCTTTATACTAAATGACTAAATGAGGTTCAAAGCTTTTTGTTACTAATAACAGTTTGAGTTCAATAAGTACTTGGTAACCCCTCTTGAGTGGAACATAACATTAGGAATTTGCAGAAGCATTCTTTTTGTGAAACTTTCTCATTCCTTCTCATTTGCTGTAGGAAGTTTACTTTTTAAACTTTTAAACTTTATTAACTATTAGAAGTTGCAAGTAGTGGTTCTTGAATCTGCAACAATTTATAACCAATTTATTAGTTAAGGCAAGCCACTTGAGTCAATCAAAAAAGATATCATCTTGTTCAACAATATTGCAACAGCATTAGACTTACTCAGTAAAAAATTGAAATGTTTGGGCCAGATGAAGCCTATATATATTTAATGATTTAACCCCAACAGTTGGTAAACATGATTTCTCTTACATGCCTGCAGTACACAAATCACAACAAGTGACGGTCTAGCTCCTTCTGCACGCAGACACATGCTGCAGTATGCTGTCTTGTGATGTAAAGAGATAATAAACTAATTTTTTGATAAACCTATACTTTAAAGCCTTACAATTAGCTCACTACTTAAAACCTATCCATTATTTGTAATTCTAGTGTTTGTGTAAAAATGATATTTTGATTTGAAATTTTATAAATTATTATTATAAAATACAAAATGTAATAAACAATTGTTTTGTTAAAGCCTCACCGGTATTTAAAGATGTTGTCAAAGACCATGCTTATGATGGTTTTGCAGCATTTCCATTCTATGAGTAGATTTTTTGTTGCAACAGAGGTAACATCACCATGTTTCAGAACTGCTTTTGAATTAAACTTGAAAGAGTGGTACACCAAGATGTTTAGTTCAATAGACTCCAGATACTAAAACAGGTAGACAAATCATTAGTGTCTTTAGAGTCCTGGGTAGCCATCAGTTTTCCCTCTTAATGTATTACCATTTTTAGAAACAGATTTTTCTTTTATTTGTTTGCTGATATGGGGTAGTACTGTTGCTTGATATCGATGGGCTAAACTGGCATTTACAAAAACCATTATCTGTAATAATAAGTTCATCATAGTATTACTAACATTATTTCTTGTGCTAAAATACCTCGGGCAACAACATTTGGATTCTTGAGAATATCAAAAAAGTGTTTTTTCAAAAAAACATTGGTTTTTTGTTCAAAACCAGATTTTATTTGCTTTTTAATTTGCAGATTTTCTTTGCTGCTCTGAAATTGAAACTGGTGATTGAACTCAACAGTTTCTTTAAACATTACCAAATGATCTTTTTTGGGGATAGCTTTGTCATAGGTTCTTTTTTGTCTTTTCTCAAAAACTTATGCATTGACTTTGTCAATTTCTAAATAAGAATCTTTCCTGTCAGATATCATGCTTTACATGAACGCAATTCTGTATCAATGAATACTTTTTCCATTGTAGTGTTATGTCGTTTCTAAGTTTCCATATTTTGGAGAACAGATTTCTTATAAATGTTATGGTAGCACATTTGACATAAATTTCCTGGTTATCCAAATGTCTTTACTTCTCAATATATTTTATAAACTTCATAAATTCATTGTGTGCATTTTTTTATTTGTATATTTAATTTGATTATTTTGCCAATATTGGTTCTTTAACTTATTGCATGATTATTTTTCATCATATAATGCTTCAGAACATTATCAATTGTAAAAGATAATTCATCATTAAAGAATTAATTCTTTAGGTTAGCAAGCAAGCAAAGAATTACTTGCTTCTTTGTTGGTAGTTTGCGTCCTTTAATTTCCTTGTTGTCAATACCAGGGGTGGTCCCTAATATTATTTGTGTATATCTATTAATATGTCTAGTTTTCATTTTGGTATATTTGCATTACATATTAATCAATAGTAATCTGAAAAAAAGAAAAATTAGTTAAACAAGATTACAAAACAAAGATAAAGTAAACATTTGTAAATTTTTTTTTACAAAAAGTGTCTATTTTTTACAGTATTTAAAATTTCATGTTGTTTGTGCTAACTCATATGTAATCAGATTAGAGAATAAAGTCACAGCAATTGTTTTTAGGCCGAAACCCAGTACCAAAAATTTAAACAACTGTCAACAATCAAATTTTTGGGGAGCAGCTGGGACAACCTAGTAAACATGCATAATGTTTAGAGTTGTAATTAGATCTATTTTTGCAACACACTTTTTTTATTATAAATAAATTTTTGATAAAAATCAGTCTATGTATTTTCCACTTCACAAGTCAGAACAGAAAAAAAAAAAAAAAAACTCAACAGATGCAAGTCAAACCTGTAAAGAGTTATGATGGTGTTGAAAAGTATAACACAGATATATGCCTAACAAAATTTATGCAACATTACTTTGCAATCACTGTAATGCTTCCTTCATTTTAATATAATTTTAAAAGACTCTGTATCAATAATTATTGCAATTAAAAATTGTAATAATTAGATGATAATTTAGTTGTATCTTGATTAAATTTTTCACAATTATAACTGTAATAAATTATAGTTGTATTGCTAATTATTGAAATTATAAAAACTATTTTGTTTATGAATTTATTAATATACCTGATTTTTTTAAGGCTTCAACTGTTATAATAGGATCACCACAAATTCTTTTTTCAAGCTCTTGCCAAGTCATTAATGCTAATACAGCTTTTGGAACTACTTTTTCCAATCCATTTTTCATTGCAATCACCTATGTTTGATAATGAAGAAAAATAAATTAAAAATACACCATTCTTCAACAAAGTATAAGTATAGATTACAATAACTATAAAATACATTTAGTCTGCCATCCCTGATTATCCTACCATCCTCGATCATCTTGCCATCAATGATCAACCTGCTATCCAATCTTCTTTATTTTGTATCAGACATTTTTTTTTTTACTGACAAAATTTTTTCTTATATGACTTGCCATAAATTTCACAGTATTTAAAATTTCATGTTGCTTGTGCTAACTATGGGATTATGGTAGCATGCTTAATCAAAAACATTATGTTGTATTTTTTATCCAAATAGATGATTATTTTAATTTCAATTCAGTTATTAATAATTGTATATTTAAAAAATTGTCACAATGTGTTAAATATTACTATTTTTAAATCTTGACTTAAATTTACATTTAGATTTGAAAATTATTTTTTAACCATGAAAAAACTGCATTAATTTTAATAAGAAACATTTGCAGTAAAGTGGTCACACAGCACCAAAGAAAACTGCCTGTATGCTTCCTTCAAACCTACATTTAACTTGAACTAAATTTGTGTATTATTGAAAATTAAAAAACAAATTACCATACAAAACTAATATATATTGTTTACACTTGCAAAAGAAAATAAGAAATACTTGTTCATTAAACTCAGAAAGACGCTTTTTTTTAACAAGTTCCAAAAATTCAATTCTATTTTCATAAGAAACATGAATGTTTTCTCCACCTTCTATAACTGGAACTACATCACCATTTGCCAACACCTGAAAAATTAAAAAAAGTTTTTAAAATTACTTAAAATAAAAATCGAAAAAAAAAGTGGGGGAGAGAGAAGGGGGGAGGTGGATCTATAAAACTAAGGTAACGATGAAAAAATTATTTACAAAGCCAAAGAACTACAACAAGTTTAAGAGATTAATTAAAAAAAAAAAATCATAACCATGGAGTAGGTTAGTGTATTTTCGAAACTTTTTATAAACTCTTCTTCGGTCATCTTAGAAACACTCTCGTGAAATCTAACCTTAAAAAAATTAATCGTTAAAAAACTTGAAAAGTTGATCATTTAACAGCAATTTCTAACAAAATAAATACAGATAAAATAAATACAGAACAAACATTTTTATTGCAACATATTATTCGTTTTCACAAAATGCTGACAACTTTTTAATATAGTACTTTCTTAACTGTTGGCTGATTATAAATGTTTTGTTTCCTTTTTTGTTAAAAAAATCAAGTGTCACAAATGATTGTGAAAAAAAATAGCCTCAAATTTCAGCAATTTGTTAGTTTATCTCAAAATTAAGAACAACAAAAAATTTATTTAGTAGCTGAATAGCATTACATATTATACAGTTGTTTTATTTTTGCATACAAGCTTACATATTTTTTGAAAATCACAAAATAGTTACTAAATAAATGTTAACTACATAAAAACTAAACTTTCCTCAAGTTTTAGTGGTGAAATAGTGTTTAAAATAAGTTTTAGTGGTGGAACAGTGTTTAAAACAAATTTTAGTGGTGAAATAGTGTTTAAAATAAGTTTTAGTGGTGGAACAGTGTTTAAAACAAGTTTTAGTGGTGAAATAGTGTTTAAAATAAGTTTTAGTGGTGAAACAGTGTTTAAAACAAGTTTTAGTGGTGAAATAGTGTTTAAAATAAGTTTTAGTGGTAGAACAGTGTTTAAAACAAGTTTTAGTGGTGAAACCATTGCAAATTCCAAAAAAGTTTAAAAGCATATAAAATTATATACGTACTTAAAAAACAAAGCAAAAAAATGAATAGTTAACATACTTCAGTAGCATCAATAGAAAAGTAATCCCTTTCCCATGATATTTTTTCACAGTTGAGCATTTTCCATATAAATAGTGGTAAAGACAATACCTGGAAGCAATACATAAATAATTATAAAACTTGATGATTAATTTTAAAAAATAAATAAAAGTCCATAATCATCTTAATATTAGAACAAACATAATTATCTACAGTGCACTTTTAATCAAACCTGAAAATTCTTCATTGTAATTATATTCTCTCTGCATAAATTTGAACTAGTTTTTTTGAAAAACTATGCGAATTGCATAGATTTTTTCTAAACTTATGAAACCATTAAAAATGTAATTGATAATTTTATTTTTTAGTATATTGAAAACAAAGAAGCAGAAAAGTATAAAACATTAAATAAAATTTATATTTGAGAGTTTAAATATTTAAATTGTGGCAAATTGTTTGAAACATTGTGATTGGATTAATTGAATTGGTGAATGTTAAAAGGGCAAAAGTCCAACAATGTAAATTTTTGGAAATCAAAGAAAAACTGCATTTTTCCCCATAGTAAATTTTTATTAATGTTTTAATATTTTTTTTTCTAAAGAAGATGTTTTTCACCTTTAAAAAAAATTATTAAACCATTAGAAAAAATTATTACAGACGGAAGTGCAGTTTTTTTAGTTTCCAAAAAGTTTAGATAGTTGAACTTCTGCTCGACTTTTAACATTCACTGATTCAATTATACAGTAAGTGACAAAACTGTCACCACATTTGAACAAAGAAACATATATTTTTTTGAATAGAAAAGCTATAGAGTAAAAATGATTTATTAATAAGATTTAAGACACCATGGTTTTGTCACCATTTAAACAAAAAAACATTTTATTATTTTTAATAGAAAAGCTCCAAAGAAAAATGAAATTTTAGTTTTTTTAATTAGATATAAGACTTAGCTAACTGATAAACTAATGTTTTAATTTTTTTTTTAATTTTATGTAAAAATCTAATGGTGAATTTGTTGTGAATGAAAACAAACAACATATTGTAGTAAATTAATATTAAGTGAATTCTCCTTTAGATTTAATTACAACATGAATTTAGGAACACTAACAACCAATTTTTGGCATTCCTCGGGTGTAATTGAATACCAAACCTCTTGTATACAAACCCAAAGTTCATCCTTATTCTTAGGTGGAGTGGAAAATATGTAGACCCGTTGTTAAACTATTGCTGATAAATTTTCAAGTGGGTTAAGATCAGGGCTTTGTGCTGGCCAGTTAATGACTTTTAGTTTCTTCTTGTGCAGGAATATAATGGTTTTATTAGCCTTTTGCTTAGGGTTGTTGTTTTGCACAAACATCATTTTGCATAAAGTACAGCCTCATTTTTGAAGTGACTTGAAATATCCGACCTTAAGGATGTTGATATAGTCATCAGAGTTCATTATTCCATTAATTTTCACTAATTTATCAATTCCACAAGCACAGAAACATCCTCAAAACAAGAGTTTTCCTCTGCCTTACTTAACGGTTGATGTAAAATCTTAAGCACTTAATAGTTTTTCTCCAAGTATATCTTATATCATCTGATCCAAACATGTTAATTTTACTTTCATCTGTCCAAATCCAGTTATAAAAGTCATTAAAATACTTATTTGAATGAAGTTTATCTCATAGCTGTTTTTCATTAAATTTAAATTAAAACATCCTAAATTTAAATTTAAACATCGTTTGCAGTTTTAGACTATCCAGAAGCAATCAGACAAGTAATTGTTCTTTGGTCTCTAGGTGTTAAAATTTTCTTTTGACCACTTGTATTTTTTTTTTTTTTTAAATTATTCACCTCCCCAAGGCCCAAAGGGGCCACTACAGTCAAGGAGGCTACTCATTTTTTTTTTTTTAATTTTATTTTTTGTTGTAAATTGTGGTACAACCTTCTCTCAACTCTTTAACTCCGAAACACGAACCTTGAGAAACAAGGCTGCTGGGCGGAGAAATTAGGTTGAGCGCGGTACTTCCAGGGACAAGGTGGGAGTCGAACTCCGAACCTCTCGCTTACAAAGCAAGCACTCTTACCACTACACCACTACCGCATAGTATTTACTTCTAAATCATCGCACAATTTTATATATGAGATATTGAGACTTTCCGATAATTTTTTATAATTTCCTTAAATATTTATAAACTTTCCAAATTCAGCAGCGATTTCACAATAAGATTTTTCAGACTTAAGCTTTTCCACAATATTTATTCAAGATTTATTTTCTTTATAATGATAATAACATTTTTTTTAATGTTTTGTAAATAAAGTCTAACTTTAAATTATGTTTAATCAATAAAAATCATTGGAAAGTTAATAACTCAATCATATTAGTCCTAAGGTTAATAATTCATGTTGTATGCGTAATTAAATGTGGATAATTATTCAATTGCTTTCATTCTTAACAAAATTAAGAATGAAATCACCATTAGCTTTCACATAAAAATTAAAAATAAAAATTTAATATCCTCTAAATTTATCAAAAAGCGATATTTTTAGTTAGCTGAGTCTTAAATCTATTTAATAAAACTAAAACTTCATTTTTCTTTGCAGCTTATCTATCAAAAAAATATGCTTTTTGTTTAATTGGTGACAATTTTGTCACATACTGTATATTGCTAATTTTATAATTTCCTTAAATATTTATAAACAAAATAAATTTTTTTTTTGTTTTTAATATGTTGATAACTTTTATGCATAATATTTTAAAACATATATCATAGTTAAAACATAATTATAATTATTATTGCTATTATAATTATTGTTATAATTAATACTACTATTATAATATAAATTGTTAAAAACTTTATAATAGTAATATTTCAGATCAGGTCAAGACCATCATGATTACCCTACTACTGGTAACATGTAATCTAGTAAACCTACACATGTCCAGCTGCCTAGTAAGAATTATTTATGTTTAGGCTAGGAGAAGTTAACTTAAAACACCCACAGCCATGGGACTCTTGAGTAATAGCTAGAGATGGTGATCTTGAATAAAAACACTGATCTTAGGCAGATATTAACAACCTGCTGCTTCTTGTAGAATTCTTTACTTAACAACCTGCTACTTCTTGTAGAATGATATCTCTTAAACCTTATCACCATAAGTCTTTAAATGTGTGACCACACTCTTCTTGTCATTCTACAGAAACAGGTTAATTAAGTCTAATAGAGAAACTTCATTTCTTAAGTTATTTTTCAGTTTCATTCTTTTTCCTAATCAATCTTCTTCTTATTATTAGCAAACTCTTTCAAGTTAACCAACTTCTAATGCTTCATTTTATTTTAAATAACTTACTCTCTGAGAATACATATTTTAATTACACATTCTCTGCTGACTTGTTAACCTTTAAAACAGAAAAGCTCTTTAATGCATTAGATAGAAGAAGTGAGGCAAGAGCTGTTGCTCTTGACATATTAAATTCTTTTAATAAACTATAGTGTGCTAATCTCCATAAGCTCGCTATATATGGCATATATTCTCCATAAGCTCACTATATAAGGCATATCTGAATAAAATTTTAAAATTGAGACATTATTTTCTAAACTCACTCTCTTTTACTTAATGGAAACAGATAGATAAATTAGATATTATAAGGTAAGCACTTTTGCACTTGACTAAGTATTTGTTTAAGTTTGGTTACTACTGGTCTTGCTAGCTACTTCTCATCTTCCTTACTACTTCTGGTCTTGCTGGCTACTGCTGGTCTTCCCCATAAGCTATCTTTATACTGTACATCTAGACAGGTTCAAAAACTATTAAACAACTTTTTTTCTAACCACAGCTTGTTTCTCCGCGCAGCAACCTTGTTCGTCAAGGTTCGTGTTTCAGAGTTATAGAGTTGAGAGAGGGTTATAACCACAAATAAGTAGCCTCCTTGTCTGTAGTGGCCTTCTCGGCCTTGAGAAGGTGAATTAACAAAACAAAAACAAAAAACAAAAAAATTAAAACTGCCCTTGATAAATAACACTCTCTTTGAGGGTACCACAATGTTCCACATGAGGGTACCACAATGTTCCATCCTTGGTTTTGTGATGTTCTATATCTATATTAATAATCTTACTTCTTACCTCTAATTATCTCTACCTTAACCTTATCTCTAAAGTAGCTTTATTTGCTGACAACATAACTATATACTCTAGTCTTTATAAAAAATTATCAATTATTAATTGGTTAGAACAGATAATCATGCATGTGATCTCTTTTATGTGACAGAATTGTTTTCACAGTGGTTGGTGAAGTTCAACCCAAACAAAACTTTCTCTTTTAGACAAAAACATAAATGTCAAGTTGTTACCCAAAATACCCTCAGTATTATATATAGTTTGGTTTATTAAACACATAACTATTTTATACATGTTACACATAATACAGGGCAAAAATATATGTATGTATATAAATAAATAAATAAATAAATATATATACATACATACATATATATATATATATATATATATATATATATATATATATATATATATATATATATATATATATATATATATATATATATATATATATATATATAATCATATACCCATTCTTTATTACCAAAATACTTTAAAACTCACAAGATTTTCATTTCCTCTTAAACATGCTCCCATAATTTGACCAATCCATTCATAGTGGGCAAAGATTCGACAATTAGAGTTAGGAATGTAGCAATCTCGATAAATATTTGATGTTGCAAACTTAATTAAAATAAAACTAATCATTATTATCATGGTCATGACCGAGATCATCACAATCACTATCGTGTTTAACATCATCATCATCATCATCATCACCATCATCATCATCATCATCATCATCATCATCATCATCATCATCATCATCATCATCATCATCATCATCATCATTATCAAGTAATAAAATAAAAACTCTCAATACTTGATTAGGACTGCGAACGAAATAAGGTAGAGGAAGTAAGGCATCAGGTGATGAAGGGCATAGTTCTTCTGCTAGATCAGATAAGCTATCACGAAAACCTCCACCTATAGATTAGACATTTGAATTATAAGAACATTTTTTAATAATTTACAAAAAAAATAAAACATCTAATTTCCTTTTGAAATAATTTATGATTATTATTTAATAGCTAAATTATTATTATATATAAATTATATATAATAATAAATTATAATATTATTATGATCCACTTAAAAGATTATATTTTACTTAAAAAAATAATTCGAACGAATTTTCAAATTAAGTAAATTCACAAATCATGATTATTGTAAACACAAATTAGAATCAAAACAAGTAACAAAAATCAAAATTGTTTTAATTTTGAAAAAGTTTTAAATGTTTTTTTTAATTACTTTAAAGTCAGGGAACTTTAAAGAAGTACTCTATTGTTGATGTATATATCAAGGCTCACTAAGGCTTGCTCACCCTATCTAACAACCCCAACATGTCCTATCACGTTTTCACACCACCCAAAAAACTCAATCAAAATTCTTTTATATCTTTGACAATTCTAATTATCTTTAAAACTGTAAAAAAATTTGAAACATAAACCTTGATCAATGATACCCTCTCCAATAAACTTGCATTCCCACCACTGTTCATATTTAGGTGGCCATCTACAAGTTTCAAAAAATGAGAGGTTAAAATCAATACAAGTTAAAAGGACAAACATCTTTATAAATACCTGTAATCCATTTTTGTTTCACATCTGTCTACTCTCAAAGCTTCATACAACTAAGAAAAAAGAAACATTTATAATTTTAATATTATTTTAAATTTAAACAAATTTGAACAACAAAAACATATTTAAAAAATTAAAATTTCTATAAATAAAATTTTTTTAATTATGCTAATTTATATGTAACTATAATATTTGTTTATAATTAAAAACTTGAGTTTTTTTTTTCCCTATACAATAATTGTTATGATTAAATACTTGATTGAAAATTGAACTTTTTCCATCTGGATCAAATGTTGGATCAACTAACTGTTGAGCTGCAAGATGACGATTGATATAAATCTTTGGAATTGTTGATGGTGCAGCTCCTTCATCCAAAAAAAAAACATTTTAATGTTTTTTCAAAAACACTAATTTTAAATTTCTACTAAAAACTCAACAACATAAAAAAGAATAACCTTCTGTTTCTCTAAGACAATTTTCAATAAGACCCTGTCTTTTTTTTGAAAGTGGTAGCAATTGTCGAATTTCTTCTAAGCATTTATAAGTACCAACAGTGTATTCCCACAATGGCAAGAGATATTGAATGACACTATCAAACAAGCTGATGAAACGATTCAATACTTGTGCACGATAATACAAGCAACTTCGATTCCCAGCATCAATTGATTGAAGTTTAGGATACCTAAAATGTACTTTATATAAATTGCTCAATCAACTATTATTTTATGTAACTATTTATTTTTTAAAGTTTGTTTCATCAGCTTGTTAAATTATATTACAAAAAATATTTATAAATTTTTAAAATTAAGTTACATTAGTAAATTATAACTTTTTAAATGTTGCACTTTTTTTTGTAAATGTTGCAAATGTCAAACATAATACATACATGATAAAACATATTGCTATAAAATTAAAATATGCCTGATAAAAATAGTTTGAAGATGTATGACCAATGACAAAATTGGTTCTACATTATCACAGACATCTTAATAGAAATTTACCTCACTAAGTCTTTTTCAAACAAATCTTTGTTCAATCGACATTGTCTTTGCTTTGAAGAAACAATCTTTATATAATGAATTCGACAATCTATTCCCTCATCTAGCAAATCAAAGACAAAATGTTTAAGCTAAAGAAAATGCAACAAGGAATGAGATCAGCAAACACTATGTGATTCGTAATCTGCAGCTACAAGAATTATGTGGTTCACAACAATGATATTTCATCATAAACTTTTTAACTAAGACCTCTGATCCTAAAGAATGTGAAATTTAAGGTAAATTAACCCAGGTTTTAAGACCTCTGATCCTAAAGAATGTGAAATTTAAGGTAAATTAACCCAGGTCTCAAGTTTACAAATAAATCTGGGTTTCTAATATTATCCCAAAGAATGATTTTTTAAAGTAAATTAACTTAAATGAATGAGTGAAATAAATGGCTCTTAAATGAAGCAAAAAACAAGCAAAATCAAATTTTGAAAAAAAAATTAATGAAAATAAAATTTTGTTATAAAAGATCTTGATTAAAAAGACGTTTTTGTGGATAAATTTTTGTGCAATAATATTAGAAACAATAATTTTTTATATAAAATAACTATTAATTTAAAACTTTTTTTTCATATCACATTATTTCAAAATTTTATCCCCAATTCCCAACCTGAGTTTTTTTTTGTTTCAACTCCATTTTAAAATGTTTAAAGAAATTTTTTTCAATTGATATTTTTTTTTTTTTTTTTATTTTACTTCACCTCCTCAAGGCCGAGAAGGCCACTACAGACGAGGAGGCTACTTATTTTGTGGCTATAACCCTCTCTCAACTCTATAACTCCGAAACACGAACCTTGACGAACAAGGCCGCTGCGCAGAGAAACGAGTTGAGCGCGGTACTACCAGGGACGTGGTGGGGATCGCGGTACTACCAGGGACGTGGTGGGGATATGCAAAATTAATAGTTTTTCAAACTTTTTAAAACATTTTTATAATACTAAAATTTAAAATTTCTAACATTTATGAAAAGTAATTAACAAAATATCAAAGTTTAAATTAATATAACGCTTAATAGTCATTTATTTTATTCCAATATTTTAAAATGAAATTTAAACAAATAAACACTATGGTTGTGAAATTTATCTACAACTACAATCTTCTGGGCTGGTCTTGTATCTAATCTATAATAGTCTATCCATCAGACTATCTTGTAAACAATTTCATGTGCTATAAACTTATTTATAATTATACCTTAAATTGCTTACCTTTGCATTCTTTTAAAATTATACCTTAAGTTATCTACCTTTGCATTCTTTTAAAATTATACCTAAAGTTTTTTTACCTTTGCATTCTTTTATTCTAATTTCAATCTGAGGGTAATATTCTGCTGCATTTTCTAATATCACAACATCACCATTTTGACATCTAATAAAAACATAGAAAATATAGCAGAAAGTTTAAGGGACCAATAATTTTTTTTTTAAGAGCATAATACTAAATAATCTTATTTATTGACTATTGTAAAAGAATTTTAAAAACAAACCCGTCAATTCTGACTTCATTTAATAGTTTACTTTGCACTGAATCGGTGAGACAATAAACTAGAACTCTGCTGGGCATGTAGTTATCATCACTGTCATCAACACCAATTATCAATTTCCTATGAAAATTGATATACTAATATAAATATAAAATAGAATTTAACAACAACAAAAAAAAATCTTGATGAATATGAATGTTTTATATAGAAGTATATAGAGGAAGATATGAAGTATATAGAGGAAGATATGAAGTATATAGAGGAAGATATGAAGTATATAGAGGAAGATATGAAGTATATAGAGGAAGATATGAAGTATATAGAGGAAGATATGAAGTATATAGAGGAAGATATGAAGTATATAGAGGAAGATATGAAGTATATAGAAGAAGATATGAGAGAGAATAACAATCTAGAAGAACACAGGGAAAAAATACTAACATGAAAAGAATGTTATTAAATGCAATCCTCGGAATTAGGGTCGGCATTTGGTAATGCTGACCTAACTGCCAACCTGAAAGAGTTTGAGGTCGGCAAAAAACTGTCGACCTTGTTTCTATGTTTTATGGTCAGACCTTTGTATCAAATAATTTTTGTTGACCTAATGCCAAACTCAAAAAGATTGAGGTCGACAATAATTTGCCTACTTCATTTTTCCTAATTCCGAGGGTTGTACATGTAATATATTTATAATAATATTATAAATATATTATATTTAATAACACTCCACTTTGCCCTAGGCTTCATTACTATGTTTGAAAAACATGAATTATGTAAAAATACAGCAAAAAAAATTTTAAATCAGATATTTACTTTTTAACTTCTTTAAATTAAAAAAATTAATTTTAAAATATTCAAAACATACTGTATAATAACACCCGCTTTGATCTGCAATCGAATGTGATGCCGTCCAGAGCTCCCATCTGACTCCCAGTATGTGTCTGGATCATTGTCAAGCAAATTATTAGCACTGTCTTGTTCCTTTATTTAAAATTATGACATATCAATGAAAAAAAACATATTTATTTTACTTTGAAAAAATTAAGAATTCAAAATGTATATTAAATTAAAATAAAAGAAAGTAAAATTAAATAAGATTAAAAAAAATTTTTTGAAAGACTTAGGTAACAAAAATATAATAACATGTTATAGAAATAATACATAAAGTTAAAAAAGTCACCAAAAAAAAAAAAAGATAGTTAAAAAAATAAAATGTTAATAAAATTCAATAAAAAATTATTTAGTAATTAATTTTTATATAAAAGTAAATAACTTTTAATAAAATAATTTCATACTGAAGAAACAGTGATTGACTCTACATATCTGCTAGCCCCACCAATGTACAAATCATGACTTGAGGAATGATCAACTAAAAATTTAACAAGCTCTTCATCTGCCTCCAATGACCAATTGGATGGTGGATTAGAAAGACGATTAACAGCATCCATATCAACATTTTGTGGCAGAGATCTCGGAATAAGTTGTAACATGTAATTCATTTCAACTACTGACTGCCATCTTTTGTTATATAAATAAGAATTATTTAAAATATTTAAAACTTTAATACATCTAACGTTTAAAGAACACAATATAACTTGAAAAGTCTGTGCTTAGAAGTTTATTTGATCTAAACGCATGAAATCAAACAATTTTTTTTTTTTTTAATTATAATTGAATTACAAAAACACTCTAAAAGTAATAAAAACTTATAGTATTAAAAAAAAATTATAGTATTTAAAAAAATAAATACAAATGTTTTTAAAGATCCTGAATACCTATATAATACTTTGTTTTCCTTTTTATCATTTTTATTTGCTCCAAACATAAGAGATTTGGAAACTCTTTTTTTGGATTCTGATATTTCAAATTTTGGTATTAACTTTGGTACATTATCTGTCTTTGAATCTCTAGGATGTATAATGATCCAAGCTTCACTTACTGAGGAATCTGAGATAACTTCTTTCAAAGTTGCAATTGACTCCTAAAATTAAAATGAATGTAAATTATTTTAAAATGTTGTCAAAAGGACCAGTATTTAAGTAACTTTTTATACATACAGAAGAATGTCCAAAGGCTTTTGAGATCTTCATTTTCAATTTGGCTTTTTGGGAGGAACATATGTAACATATATAACATATATAACCATATATAAGTATATAAGACTTAACATATATAACATATATAACCATATATAAACATATATAAGTTGGCTTTATATAGTAATTACTAATTACAGAAATGACTCATTTACTTAAAGGTAAAAATGTAAAATATGTTAAATCAATATTTTACGTTTTAAAAACAGACTCTTTAAACATTTTTTTTTAATTTCATTTCACCTCCCCAAGGCCATGAACGCCATTATATTAGGAGGCTACTTTAGTTATGGATTTTAACCTCAAATATTTTTCAGACTTTTCATCAAAGATAATAAAAAATCATGATAATCTGGCAGTTAAAATAAATTTACATTTTTGCTCAAAATAATATATTTATAAAAATAAGTATAAATATTAATTTTTATAAATAGAAACTGTTTTTATAACAAAAATATAAACTATTATAATATACATTTTTATTACTATTTATTATTACATAATATAATTCTATTAAAATATATTTCTCTCACCCTCATTTTTTAGAAAAAAAAAAATACAACTATTTTAAATTTTAAAAAATAAAACTTTATTTTATTGCAGGTCCTGAAATACCCATAATAACAACATAAGTATGATAGAAATCAATTTAAATAAACAATATTCAGAATAAGTAATAAGGTTTGAATAACTAAAGGATGTTTTTAAGAGTTTTTTAAAAAAAACCCACAGAAAATGAAAATTATATCAAATTTTTTAAACAATTGTGAGAATAAATACCATCTGTGTTATGCCACTGCATATAGCATTCATGCCAAATGAACCCAAGTCAAGTCATTTGGTAAATTCATGCCAAATGGACCCAATATAAGTCATTCATGCCAAATGGACCCAAATTTTGACGAAACTTGATGGGTTGGTTTATATCAACTTCTCAAAATTTCAGCATAAAATCTTTTGTAGTTTATTAGATATTACCATTTAAAATTTCTGAATTTTCCAAAAATAAAAGCTTCAGTAGCGAAAACATGTTTTATTTATACTTTGAAGCTATAAAACATGTTTTATTTATACTTTCTAACATTTTCTATTGTATTCAACTCTAGACTTACTTTAATAAAACTTTGACATTGAATTTTCGAATGTCACATTTTATATCACATTTCATAATGGCTACTTAATTAACCTAAAAAATAATTTGCAAATATCTATACCTGAGAGCCAACTTGTCTTAACTCCATTTTTGGGTAAAATGAGTTATATACATATCTGAAATCTCCATCGCATATTCTATAGGGCCAAAATGACTTAAAATCTCTATCTAGTGTGATTTGACAAGAAATGAAAATCTTCAACAGGGAAAACCATGAAGTCCAGGGAACTAAAGAAGCCTTGTAAGAACAATTTTCGTTACAAATGCAGCATGCATTTCAGCACAGAAATGCAAAAATGTATTTTGATAATTTTTGGGTTAGTAATGCATCGTGGGACTAGAAAAAAATTTTTTTATTTGAGAAAACTATGGACATTTAACTACTCTATAAATGACAGTACCAAAAAAAATTTTTGCATGATGTGGGATGAAGTTCAAGGAGGAAGAGGTGGAAATGAGATGGCCTCCTGTTTCTTGAAATTCATCCAAGAATCATTGACGCCAAATATAAAGAACATAACCGTCATGATGGTGTTTATTTATATATCATTTAATATTTTATATTTCATTCTTATGAGTAAATATCCATTCCTAGAGACAATTTTTCAAATCACAAGTTTTTATTACGTGGGCATACGCACATGGAAGTAGACACATCCCACAGCGTTATTGAAAGAAGAAAAAAATTTATCAAGACAATGAACATCTTCACTTGAAATGATTGGTGCCATTTTGTAAGAAGTTGTGGGGAATCCTTTATTGTGTGTCCCAAGTTATATATTATTTACAAACATTTTTCTTATTTTTTTCCCTCTATGAAAATAGTGGGCCATTTGTATCTAGAAAAAGATCGCAGACAGAACGTTAGCTTCCATATTAACAACAGTACGGATGCAGGTATGAAAAAGAAATTTTTCTCCTCTGTTAAATTGTGTTTTTGGAGTGAAGACAAGTTGGGTATCAGGTACAGATATATTAAGTTGATTTTTGATGAGTCAATACACAAAATCTGCAATTGAAGAAGTGAAAGGACATTTTTTTAGTTTCTATAAACGGTAAGCTTCCAAACTTTTACAAATACACTGAGAAGATACATCTCAGTAAAAAATTTATGAACTTCTAAAAATGGCTGCAGCTAAAACTTATGAAAATGTGTCTCCACTTCAAAGCACTAGTAACTTAAGATTTTTTTCACTGATTTAATAGACTTTATTACAGTGATTTCAGAAAAAAAAAATAGTCGGTACTCATGGGGAAGTTGCAAAATCAGATAAATGAAATTTACCCAAAATTGGATTATAAACAATAAAAATTATATTGTTATAGAGCTATTGTTGTACTTTAGTTTGTATTATATACTGTAATATAAAGTATGAATAAATTTAAAAGTATTTCATAATCAGTACTAGAAATAAGTCTTAAATTAAGCCTGAACTAAACTCAGTTCTTAAAAAGCCTTAGCTTCTCTCTGTCTTCCTCCCCTCCCCCATCCATTCATTTTTTAACATGCACATTTTTGCCCAGAACTAAGAAAAAATTTGTAATTAAACACTTCTCCTTACACGATGCGTCTGTTTTTATGTCTGATGTATGTAACATACACATATAAAACCTGTGACATTTAGTTTTAAATTTAAGAAAGTAAAAATAAAAGCAAAAAAAACATGTAAAACTTGTAAGTTTTTTAGGTAAAAATGAAAAGAAAGACTAATTTACTTAATATTTGACTATAAATTTTGTATTTTTTTTACCAATCCATTCACTATTCCACCCCTCCCCAATAATTTGACTTATTTATCATGTTTAAATTTAGATTACAACTTTTACAACAAGTTACAAGAGTTCACTTGTCAACACAACGCACAAGTTGATTGTGTAATAAAAAACTATTATTATCTAATAAACAATCAATATAAACATTGAATCTTTTAAATAAATATGTTTTAAAATTAATTTTTGCTAAATAACTATATAAGTCAATTAAATCAAATTTATAATAATTTAACTATGTTGTTATTTAATTATGTTATTTATGCTATTGTACAAATGTAATAATTCAGCTTTTTCTAGAGCTGATAGTTCATAGCATCTACCAGTTGTTGATTGAACTTTTGAAAATTTTGCATAAAACAAGCGTTATTGGAACCCAGCAAATATTTTCTTTATGTAGCCAAGTAAAAGTGTTTAAAAAAATAGACTGTTTCATGAACTTGATAAGAATATCTTGATTTTCTTCAGATATTTCCACAATATTGCCTAAAAACCATTTTGCATTATAAACAGATGCTATATTAATTATTAATGAAAGAGAATCAAGTAGAAACATATGCTGTGTTGTAGAAACATTTACATTAGTATTCATATTGCCACCTATCTCTATAAAGTAGTTAATGATTGTGGTATAAAACAATGGTGGTTTCCTGTTCCAGGAATTGTTAAAAAGTAGCATAACATTCATCTAATTTAAACTTTATAAAATGTAATACAATTGCATCGTTTAGAGTATTGAAAATATATTCCTTTGATATTTTATCTACACCAATCATACATTTTCTCAGGTAAATTGATAGGATCTTTTAGTGATAGTAAACTGGCACTAGCTAAAAGTCTTTTGACATCACAAGCACTCTTTCCATGAGACGTAGAAAAAAAATACCATTCTGCAGATACTTTATGATCATGTTAATGGTGACATAAGTTAGATATGTTTTTGTAATTTTTGTATTGTGAACCTGCATCATCACTAAAACAAATGCAATGGTAAAGTAAGGCATAGTATAACCCAGATAAACTCTTTTAAATATTTTATTATTTCATAAATGGAACAATGAACTGAGTTTGTATTATGTAGCAAATGATCTGAGACGATACAAACACTATTACATTTTATCTTATTATCTTATAGTCTAGTATACTAAAATGCGATTACTGGTAATGTTACTTTTAGATGCTGCATGATTTTTGGCTATATAGTGATGGTCTCTTAATTGGTCTATTTGTTGACAAACTTTTTCAATAAAATCATTCACTGGAAGAGTTACTGAAACTATATCATGTTTTTTGTTGGTTTTTTTGCCACCGCTTAAAGGGATTTCTTCCATGCTGAGTTTATCAAATAAAGCAGTAAGATACTGATTAGAGACCTGAAGCACAATCCAATAGGATGTATAATACACATCCAATAGGATGTATAATACAATATATAATACACTACTTTGGTCTAAGTCCACAGAACTTAGAAAACTTAATCATGACATCAAAGAAAATTATAATGAACTCTAAATCAAGTTATTTTATATCAACTAATAGTCTTTTTTGAAAATGTTGTCTTTTACCACCAACTTGGATTGAGAAATACTGTTTCATACCTGGACATTAATTGAGATAATTCATCTGATTGGTAAAATTCATGAATTTGATTTTTTACTTTTTCACTAAAAAATCTTCCCTTTTTTTAGGTTAGTTCTGTCATTATGCCATGCATTTGTTTCAAATACCTTGCAGCTTTTATCATCTTAGGGAGGAAAAAAAATAGTTTTGTCTATAATTAATGTTGCAACTCTCAAAAACCAAAGTCAGTAATTTAAGATTTCCTGATTTAAAGTTTAAATCAGAAAAATTAATTAAAGATGATAAAATCTTTAATGAATTTTTTTTATTAAAATTTTTTTTTTTGTTTTTGGTTCATAATTAAATCTGGAGAAACAAAACAGCTGCTCTTTTGAAAGTTAAATTTTAAATGTTATTCTCATTAAAATCTTTTAAATGTTATTCTCATTAAAATCTTTTAAATGTTATTCTCATTAAAATCGTTATTTTAATGACATGAATCGCTTTCGCAATCTTTGTTAATTTTTTTTTTGAACTAAAGTTTTCTTTTAAATGTTATTCTCATTAAAATCGTTATTTTAATGACATGAATCGCTTTCGCAATCTTTGTTAATTTTTTTTTTGAATTAAAGTTTTCTTTTAAATGTTATTCTCATTAAAATCGTTATTTTAATGACATGAATCGCTTTCGCAATCTTTGTTAATTTTTTTTTTGAATTAAAGTTTTCTTTTAAATGTTATTCTCATTAAAATCGTTATTTTAATGACATGAATCGCTTCCGCAATCTTTGTTAATTTTTTTTTTGAACTAAAGTTTTCTTTTAAATGTTATTCTCATTAAAATCGTTATTTTTAATGACATGAATCGCTTCCGCAATCTTTGTTAATTTTTTTTTTGAACTAAAGTTTTCTTTTAAATGTTATTCTCATTAAAATCGTTATTTTAATGACATGAATCGCTTTCGCAATCTTTGTTAATTTTTTTTTTGAATTAAAGTTTTCTTTTAAATGTTATTCTCATTAAAATCGTTATTTTAATGACATGAATCGCTTTCGCAATCTTTGTTAATTTTTTTTTTTGAATTAAAGTTTTCTTTTAAATGTTATTCTCATTAAAATCGTTATTTTAATGACATGAATCGCTTCCGCAATCTTTGTTAATTTTTTTTTTGAACTAAAGTTTTCTTTTAAATGTTATTCTCATTAAAATCGTTATTTTAATGACATGAATCGCTTCCGCAATCTTTGTTAATTTTTTTTTTGAACTAAAGTTTTCTTTTAAATGTTATTCTCATTAAAATCGTTATTTTAATGACATGAATCGCTTTCGCAATCTTTGTTAATTTTTTTTTTGAATTAAAGTTTTCTTTTAAATGTTATTCTCATTAAAATCGTTATTTTAATGACATGAATCGCTTCCGCAATCTTTGTTAATTTTTTTTTTTAAATACAACATTTTTTGACATTCTGTACAAAGATTATTAACAACATCAATACTGATTACTCTGGTAGATTCTGAAAAATGCAACATTGAATTAGATATAAAGATGCACTTGCTATTTATTTTAAATTACTATCTAAAAAGATTTATTTAAATACAAGTTAGGAAACTAAAGTTTCCATAAGTTTTAGCACAACAAATAAGAAATGATAAATTGTATTGATAAAATAAAATTCTTTAAAAAGAACACTAAGTAACTTGCTGGTCTTTTATATCACAGCATTTAAATGTGCATGTTGAATTCTTTGTTTGTGTATATAGACACTTTATGCCAGACATAAAACCAGACACACCAGGAGAAGTGCTTTTTGTCATTTGAAATTTCTAATTGGAAAAATCAGAAATTTCAAATGACAATATCTAATGAACTACAAAAGATTTTATGCTGAAATTTTCAGGAATTGCTTTTTTTTTAACCAATCTACTAAGTTTCATCAAAGTCTGAGGAGGTCCATGTTGGACCTTAGTCCAGTTGGCATGAAATGACTCATATGTATTATTGGTAAATATAAATAAAATGAATAACATATAACTAAAAATTTTATCTAGTTTGAATAATTTGTTACATTTTTTTACATTTCAGCCATTTCATGTAAGAAAAGTATATCTTAAGCGTTTTCAGGTAATAAACTTGCTTGATCATTTGCAATAGTGTTACCTGCTGTAGAAAATAAGTTTTTAATTGGCTCCAGGCCAATGTTGTCTCAATACATAATATCTTCTTTTCCATTGAGAGAGTATAGGAAAAAGTAGCTCTTTGGGAATAATATTGAAACAATTTATATGAAATTGATTTACTAAATGGTCTTAATAGACCTGTAACAATTCTATTTAATTTTCCTTCTGCTCAATACTGCGAGAATAATGCTCAACATCAACAAGCTACTGAGCATTATTCTCAGCTATTATAGGACAAAAAATATTGGCATTATTATCATCATCATCTACATCCACTATTGTTAATTTATTTTAATAGCTATCATTTCTAATAATAGTGCCAGAATGCGCTTCTGGTACTAAAGGATTATTGATGTTGGGCATTTGATTGTTTTTAAATGCTTGTAATGCCCATTTTTTTAATTTCTTATATATTTTTTGTCTCTAGCTCCAAGCCTTCTCAAAAGACTTGTGCTAGTAAATAATAAAAAACAAACCAGAAAAAATAAAAGCTTAAAATTAATTTATCAAAATCAAAATAAAAAATCAAAGTTTTAAAATTATTTAATCCAAGCTTGAAACTTTGATATTTTCAAATGTCTACAAATCAAATAGAAAATCTATTGTTAGTAGGATTTAAACCCTCAACCATAGCCAATATTACAGTCGCGCCTCATAAATGACACAAGTAATCAACCTATGCACTAGATTAATGTGGCTGATTAATGATTAATGTGACATCAGCGTAGAAATATAAAAAAAACTATTACCTTTAAACTATAAATTGGAACGCTTTGAAATTAAAAAATATATTAGTTTTATGCTTTTATTTTTTGTTTTATCTTTTATTTATTTAATCATTTGTTAAGTTCGTTTCTCTTTTCAGTTTATGGTTTGTTTATTTTTAATTTTCTTTTTAAACTAGTTTGGTTTTTTCAGCGCATTATATCACAAGCAAATTATTAATATATGCAAGTTAAACATTAAATTATCAATATATATAAAAACTGTGACCAAATTTTCAAAAAATTGTATAAGTGATAACTAAACTTAACTCACTAAAAGACAATAAATCACCTGGACCTGATAAACTTTGTTCAATAGTCCTCAAGAATTGTGCTATATCGTTTACTTTACCCCTAACTCTTATATTTAGAGAATTGCTTAAAACCAGTCAACTACTAATAAAATTCAAGTCAGAAAATGTAACACCGATACATAAAAAAGGTGACAAAACAGTGGCCAGCAATTATCGCCCTATTTTATTAACTTCTATTCTTTGCAAAATATTAGAATCTATTCTAAGAGAAAGAATTGAAAAACATCTTAACAAAAACAATTTATTAACAATCCGACAGCATGGTTTTGTAAAAGGCAAATCTTGTACCACAAATTTGCTAGAAACTCTTGACTTTATTTCCTCGTGCAACAGCAATGGTTTACCTGTTGATGTAGTAATGCTAGACTTTGCTAAAGCTTTTGATAGTGTTCCTCACAAGAGACTCTTTGTTAAATTGAATGCAAATCGTATTAATGGCTTAGTTTTAAAATGGATGGAAGCTTTTCTGAATAATAGAAGACAAAGAATAGTTCTTGGTGAATTTGTTTCTCAGTGGGTTGAAATATTTAGTGGCGTGCCACAGGGCTCTGTGATTGGAATGTTAACGTTTATTATATACATTAATGAACTGCCGAGTAAATTAATAAATAAAACCAAATTGTTTGCTGATGATACCAAGATATTGTCCAAGGTAACTTTAGACAAGTGTACCTCAAGTCTGCAGAGGGATTTGGATGTATCATTTAAATGGATAGAAGACTGGCTTTTAAAGTTTAATGTTGATAAATGTGTAGTAATGCACTATGGAGTAAACAACAAAAAGAACCCTCTATATATTAATGGCATAAAGTTACCAGAATCAAACAGCGTAAAAGATCCAGGTGTAATATTTTCTAAAAATCTTAAGTGGAAAGATCAAGTTATGTCTGTAACAAAATAATGCAAATAGAATGTTAGGTCGAATCAAAAAATTATTTGCAAGATTGGACTGTTATTTACTTAAATCACTCTATGTAACCTTTATTCATACTTTTCTAGAATTCTCAGTTCCAGTATGGTCCCCGTATCAAAAAGGTGATTGTAAAGTAATTGAACAAGTGCAGCGTCGAACCACCAAACTGATTAAACCAATTAGGTGTTTCAGTTATGAAGATCAATCAAAAGTTTTGAAGTTGACAACTTTAACTAAACGAATATGCGATATGATCCAACTATTCAAAATAATGGACAATATTAATATAACAGAGTATAAATTACAAACTATTCAAAATCATGCTAGAGATCACTGTTTCAAATAATATAGGGAAACAACAAAAAATCTGTTAAGGCATAAATTCTTTTATAATAGATCAGCAAACTTATGGGACTCATTGCTTTTAGAGCTATTCAATTCATTGTCTGTAAACTCCTTTAAAGCAGAGTTCAACTTTTAGACGAACAATAATCGATCGAAGCAGCTGTCACAAAACAGTGTGTGTGCTTAAAAGCATGCTCACTTTTTCAGTTACAGCAATAAATACTAACTAATTATGTTGAAAAAATGCAGTAACAAATTTTAAAAATGTAAAAGATATTCAGAAATATAAAAAAATAATAATAAAATAACTAAAAACGAATTGTACAATATTATAGAAACAATTTAAAACACCACAAAACATTAAAACAATTACAGAACATTAAAACAAACAGTTTAACAAAATCTCACTTGTATCTAACATTTTTAGAATAAAAGTAATGGAAATTTTTAAGCATTTTTTTTATAACTCTCAGCTAACTTCCAAAAAATAAGATTCTTTGGTACCTTAGTAAGCTGGATCCAATCTCCTGCATCATTAGAGTAATCTTCACCATAAACTATCATTGAAAAGTTTTTAAAAGCCTCTTCATGAACTGTTAACCTTCCAACTATCCGATTACTTTTTAAAGGGCTAGACCAAATATTAAAATGTACTGAGGCTTGAGCTTTATTACCTGAGCTATACAGATCAGGATGGATAACATACTCAATGAATTGTGGAACAAAGCATAATTCTTTTGGCAATGGATTGTTATTTTTTATTGACTCTACTGTTTTTAAAATACAACGGATGCTTGCAAGCCGCTTTCTTGCTTTATTTGCACCCATAGAATTTAAATTTAGTGAGTATCATAATCTGCACAATAACTTAACTTGTTTAGATACCACTTTTTTATTGTTGTTGCAATTTTTCTGTAATTTACGCACCAATATTGTTTTTAAAACTTGATTTGATAAACTAGGATTTGTTTTTATTGTCGGGTCAAAATAAATTATTAATTTTTACGTTTTTAAATTATCGATATATACCGATATATACCTTCTACCGTAACGACTTCAGACCGCAATCTGTAATAAGACCGAAAGTACTTCTAGGAGTGTCTTTCTATGGCACTTCTAGAAGTTCTCACGGTCTTATCACAGAGCAACGCAGAAGAGCATTTAACTAAAAAGTTCACGCTTCCTTTTCTACCAATGCACAGTGGGCCAAGTGGTGGACAAAGCCTAAAAAAGCGTGAAAATTTTTAATATTATCCATATTTATAGAAAACAGTAACATAAAAATTTTATGTGCATTAAGTTTATATACTTAAACTTTTTAACAGATCAGTTTTAAGAAAAAAGTAAAGATTAGCTTTTATAATACACTTATAAAATGATTTTAAAATAACGAGGTAAATTTTTAACATTCAATACTTTTATTTTGTACAAAAAGTGTCATATATTTACCATCGACTGATTTCGACTTTCGTCTAGCCAACTTTTAGTCAATTTAGTCAAAGTTGGTAACAACACTAGTTTTTCTGAAATGTGGTATTATTTCCTGCCATCTTGACTATGTGTCCTAGTATTTAAGTGTCCTTTCTTTAGTCCTCCTTAACCTTCTTTGGGTCACACTTTATCAAGTAAAAAATGTTAGATAAATAAATGGGAACAAGACAAGGAAGACTTCCTTTAAAAAGACTTTGACTTGTTTACGGAAGCTTCCTTTTCGGTAAATCGAGAGTCTTGAGTCTTTTGAGGGATTTTTACTTATTGATCTTAGGGACAATGTATGTAGTTTTAATTGGTTATATATATATATATATATATATATATATATATATATATATATATATATATATATATATATATATATATATATATATATATATATACATATATATATATATATATATATATATATATATATATATATATATATATATATATATATATATATATATATATATAATATATTATATTTACTAGTTTAAGAACTTAATACTAAGGAAAAACGAATAGCCAATTTAATCAACTATAGATTTCCTACTAATCGACTAAAAGTCAATTTAGTCGAGTGAAAATCTTGAAATCCTTTTATCTTTTCATTCGAATTTACTTTCCAATCTTTTATTTTATTTTTGTTCGTTTAAAAACAAAAGCATTTACTATTATAACTAGAGATGTCACGGATAATGGTTTTGCGGAAAACCAAATATTCGACTAGACGCTCGGCTGAAGCACCATATATTTAACTGCCGAATATTCGATGAAACATTCCTATTTTGATGGCTCCGACCTGGTTCATTGAAGTGTATATCGTTGGTACACTGGCAAAAAACCTTAAGTCAAATTGGCAGTTTTGGCTAAATGATGAAGTATTGTAAAGTTTACAACACTCTACAAACTAGCAAAATGTAAGTCGAATGAAACATCTTTAAAGATGTTTAAATATACTTTTATAACCAGAAAAAAGCTTTTTTCTAGTTATAAAATTAATTAATTTATGACTTGACTGTGTAATCACACATTATTAAATCACACATTATTTGTTGAGTGTTAGATCAACTTGATTTAGCTATAGTTATGTATAAGCGTATCATAACTTTCAAAACACTGAAAAAGATTACAAAAATAGTCAGCTCAGGTATTTATAATTCAGAGGAAATTTCAGAAGCTGATATAAATAGATTTACACTACAATCTGAACTTAAAACATCGTTTAACTTTAATGGGAATGTCAACTATACGGTTGTATAATTGACATTCCCATTGTACAATATATCGCATTGTATAAAAACAATACGATCAATCCTTCTCAGTGAAAGGCCGACGAAAAATCACCAACGGCTTATAGCACCGGTGATGATTCAGCTCTACGTAAGAAAAAGAAATATAAATGAAAACGATCAAACTAATCTCAAAAACAAAAAAATGAATAAACAAACAAAAAACCTACGAATATGTGAGAAAGAATAACTTTAATTGCAAATGATATTAGTTTTTACAATAAACCGTTCGCTTAAATTGAATAGCAAACTCTTACAAGCGTTGGTCAGCAAACGCAAAACATTATCCTAACAGAACTTGCTAAAAAGATTTTATTATTTGTTAATGGCTTGGGGCCCGGGGACGAAATTAATTTGTGAAGCTTCAAAATCAAAATGTTTTCTGTACAATCACATTGAAAATACAATTGTAAAGACTTTAGTAATTATGCCAGTTCTTAAATCATTTGTGGGAATAAATTGTTCAGTTGTCAGAGCGGCCTTTCTCTCATATTGTTTTGCTCAATTAGCATTTAAATAATATGATGTTAGAAATAGTAAGCAAAAATAAATTACTTTATTATTTTTATGACAATTTATTTTTAAAAAATAAATTGTTTCCATGTTTCGACTAATTCGACTTTTATTCAACTTAGTCAACTTTTAAAATGTATTAATCGATTTTAGTCGATGGTCGAATTTTTCAATAGTCGTAAAAACACGAAGTGACACTAGAGAGTTTGATGTTTCCTTACACACACAGTCAGTGACAGCCTACCTGACTCTGATAATACTTTTATGCCTCCTATAAAGACCAGGAAGATTTTAGGGGAAGTACAAGTTAGTCTTCATTTGGGTATGGGTGAACTCCTTAATAAAAATAATAGAGCTACAAAGAATGATATTAATCGTGCTTTAGAAAGGCCTATTCTCTGGCTGATGTACAGACATCATATATATGCATGTAACCCTGTTTTGAACTCAACAAAAAAAACGAAGTAAACAACTTTATGCTTTTACATAAAGTTGTTTGCTTTTTTGCAACTAATAATTTTTGAGGATGCTGTTTTGCCGTTTCAGAAAAGAAAGCCTTGGCAATTGAAAAATATTTAAAAAGCCATTGTTCCAATACTAACTTTGGAAGAATACCCTGCTTAGTTACAACGTCAACTTTGTTGACGTTGTAACTAAGCAGGGTAATTCTTATAGGGTAATACTTCTTTTTCTTCTCCTTGATATTGCTAAGAAAAACTACTAAAAAAAGCATAGCAGCTAGCATGAGTGAGAAAAAAAAAAAAAAAAAAAAAAAGAAAAGGTTATTTGTCAAGTATTCTGTTTAAGCAAAATAGCTTGCAGTTCTAAATGGTTGAGCTGCAAGCCACAACAAATTGTTCCTTAACTTTATTGAAAAAACACGACGAGGAAAAATTTTAGGACACTCTTTAGCTACATTACCAATAATATATTGGTAAAACTGTTAAGAGCACCTTTTTATACCATAATATTTTAAAAACAAAACATTAATTACCAAGAACTTGATTTTTAGAGTTTGGATTTTTTAATTATATCTTTCCTCTTAAGGTGAGTTTCCACTCATCCGTTTTTCAACGGGAACGGAAAAAATAACCACGTGAGCATGCGTAATAAAAGTTTTTATTTGTCTGAAAGAAAACTGCGCATGCTCACGTGATCGTTCCCTTTCCCTTTCCTCTAGAAAAACGGATGAGTGGAAACTCACCTTTTACACTTCCTCAGTTAGTCATAAACAGAATTATTGTAAAAAGAGTCGTGTCAATCAAAATCCTAGGAGTAATATTTGATGAACATCTTAATTGGAAAAGTCATATTACGCTCGTTGAAAACAAAATTTCTAAAACAATAGGCATTATGTATAAAACAAAACACCTACTAAGTAAAAAATGTTTAAAAGATATATACTACTCTTTTATTCATAGTTACATTAGCTACTGTAACATTGCTTGGGCCAGTACTTGTTCATCAGCATTAAAGAAAATATATATAAAACAAAAACAAGCCAGTAGAGTTATATGTAATATGCATAAATGTGCCCACGCCAAACCGTTACTCCGTGAAATCAAAGCTTTAAACGTCTATGAGTTAAATTTGTACCAAAATCTATTATTCATGTTTATATATCAAAACGACATGCTTTCTAAATTCTTTAACAATCATTTTTCAATTATTTCTCATAAATACTTAACGAGGTGCTCTATTCACAATTTTAACTTACCTAAGTCAAAATAAAAAAAAACAGATTACTCAATTTCATAGAGAGGACCTCGTCTATGGAACAGAATTCTTGACGACAAAATGAAAAGTATAACCTTAATACAATCTTTTAAAAATGTAGTTAAACAGAATTTGCTCGACTTAACAAATACAAATATACTTTTATATTTTTAGTTTTAAAATTTAATTTTTTTTACGTTACTTTTTTTGTTTTTCTTGCTGTTTTTTTTTGTTTGTTTTTTTTGCTTTTTACTTTACTTTTGAAGTATTTTTATCTTATTACAATAAAGTTTATATTTATTTGCTTTATATAATGAGTATTTGTATATAATGAGATAATGACACAAAAAAAAATGTAAATAATTATTATATATATTTTATTTCTATATTTTACTTTAGAAGTCTTATTATAGTATAGCTATTTTTAACTTGCTATATAAAATGATTATTTATTTTTTTGTTGAAAAAACTTGTAAAGCTAATCTTTTAAATTTCTTTACTTTATTTATTTAATTTAGCAAATTTTATTTTATTATTGTTATTTTAACTTGCTTTATATAGTGAATATAAATTATTATATTTCATATATTATGGATACTTTGTAAAAAATATATCACGCAAATTGTAGGGGCTTGACGACAAGACTTATGTCTTCTACTTGCTCCTGTCATTCTTTATATTTTGATTTATTTTATTAAACTTGGAAACGAGAACATTGTAAAATGCTTATATATGACAAAAAAAAATTAATAAATAAATAAACCTTTACAATCAATTTTTGTTTTCTAAGTCGTCCGGAAAAACAAACGACAAATATCCAAGAAATTCACTAAGAAGTATCTGCAGAGCATCTAAAAAATAAAGTAGTTCTTCACAATGGCTTTTTTAGCCAAATTAGAACAGAAGTGTCAATTTAGAACTTTTTCTATAATAAAATTACCACA